AATATTTTTTCAATTTTGTAGTTTATACATTTTTTTATACTTTCAGTACATAGACTAACAACAGTGTTAGGTTATACTTTTGTTGCTAATCGACATGGCATAAGCCACTGTTGGAATGCATTGTTACCAAAATGCAATGGCTTTTCTATATATATTATAAGTTGTTATATAAGGAACCAGTTCTTTTTTATGTGTTTTTTTGGTAGTTTACCTCATTAAAAAGATGTGCATGCTACACACATGCGTGGATGAGATAAGTAATACCCAGGTGCACACACTCAGGGTCCACTTAGTATGGGTGCAAAATTTCAGGTTTCTAGGTTCTTTCCTCTTGGAGCTATGGCAGTCAAACACACATAGACACACCTGTTTATTATTATAAATGAAACTAATTATAAAGAATAATGCTGTAGAAGCATATATTATTGTAAGTCTTGAACACTGCAGTTCTTTAAAGTTGCCATTTGTGACCTCAAAATATGTATAAAATAGCTTTCCTATGTAACTGGCATTTGTGTTATGAGTGGTCTTCTGTCTCATATGTGGCAATAAAAATAATGGTTTTTTTGTGTATCTTATCACAACATCTATGTTGTATTAATGCTGAAAGACTAATAGTTTTTAATGCATCAATACCTAGTAGGCAAGTAACAGTATAGTTGCTTACATACATGTATCTTTATGTAGACCACTGAGGCTTGAGACGTGTTAGAAGTTTATTAACATCTACATAAGATTAATTTTGTTTTTCACTAAACTTAATTCAATTTACTTGAGCTTAATTTAGTTCAGACTGTCTGAAACAACACAGAATGCAAACAAGTTAATCTCATTTAAATGACTTACTTTGCCAAAAGCCCATTTTATTGAAATAATTATGTTTACCTACTTTTTCTCAGTTACCCTAGTGTTTAGATTTGATAACGACATTAAAACAGTGAAAAACTAAAGTGTAAAGACAACACTTACAAATAGTTCAAAGTTTTTAGCTGTATTTAAAAAGTTTTGGATAATGTTTTGATTTTGCTTGAAGTTTCAAAGTGATTTGGAAAAGACCACCTTATACTTTTTTTCATTTTGCATAAAGCTAGAATAGGTTTTTTTTACATTAAACTTAACTGGAAATTCCATGAAAAATAAGAACAAAAGAATTATTAGAAAACTCATACTACTGGTCTCTTATAATTGTTCTGTTCCATATGCTGGAATCTTAGTTTTGTTTTTCATTAATTCTGAAAATCTTCCAAATGATATTCAGTAAAAATAAACAACAATTTAAAATTAACTCCTTCTGCTTTTTTATTTTGTGAAATCAGTTTCTTTAGAAAAGTTATTTTGATGTATGTTTGTATTCGTATGAGATTTAATGAGTTCTGATCCTATCTGATCAACTTGCATATTGAACCTCTTGAATCTTTTGTGCAGGAAGGATAGGGTGCTATAAAATATGCACTATAGTTTGTACATAACAAAAGCAATAACGATCTTTAGTAGCACCCAAATTTAGAATACTTAACACTTATTTTTAGGAAGTATTACAAAATGTTCTTAACAAAGTATTATTCTTGGTAATTTTACTTTAATTAGAATTTTTAATAGATTTCTTCTTTTGTTTTATGTTTATATAGCTTTTATCATTATCTGTAAAAACTTTAACAATTTATTTATTTACTTATTTCGGTTTTCTTTGGACGAGTCCTAATATTTTATTTTTTTCAAGTTTGTTTTTCACTTAATCAGGATTTGAGTAGTTTGAATTTGTTAGCTTTCCACTTTATCTACACTGTTTTTTTGTCATTCTTTTCATTGTTCCAGTTGCCATCACTCATTCACATTTTTTTTTAGTTTGTTAACACACACACACACACACACTGATCATGTGGATTTCTCTTCAAGCAAAATCCTGTCTTTTCTATTATCTTCCACCTAACTGGACTACTGTCTTAAAACTTGAGAGAGATACCATCCATATGTTAAACCAGCTTAAACCTTGTGATTCTCAGTATCATTTCTTCATTTTCAGAATTTTGTCATTATTTGGTAAGTCACAGGTATCTAAACACGAGTCCAGCTCTATGCCTTATGCTGTTATTGTCCACCAGTCTTTTTTCCAATTATTTCAATGTAATTTTTAATTGTTTGGTTAGGAAGATACTAATTTTAGATGGTTTTGATAAAAAAACATTGGGGAAGTTTTATCCCCTGTACATGTGTATGGATCTTCTTATAAGCACAGTTTAGCCAATTTTTTTACTTTTTATTTTCTATTACAGTAGTGCCCAAATCTTGGTTCTGGTTGAGGTTACCCTATTAAATGCTCATGTTGGAGGTAATTGTTGTGATTTATTTAGCACAATATGCTTTGGACATCCTTCTGTTATATGTTTATAATAAAATATTCCAGCTCTGCCTCTAACTTTTTTTTATGGTATGGCTCTTACCCAATCCTTATTACTTGTGGTTGTTGTTATTTGTATTTGAAAAGAAGTAAATTATTGCTAGATTCTTAGCTACAAATTTAAATTGTCTGAGACTTTTTTAAAAAGGTTGCCCATTTCATACTGGTTGGCAATCCATCTGCCAACCAAAACGGAACTGAAGTATAGTGCATTTGAAGTCCCCATTGTCATCATCAGTAACTGCTTTTGTTAAACCTCTTTTACACATGATCATGTGTAAATTGTTGTCATATTCTTCCATAATCCAAATGAGTATTGTTCTCCATACTCTAACTTTGAGATCTGTTCTTAAAGTATATTAGATGGTATTATACAGCTGAGTGTATCTAGAGGTAAGATTAGAATTATACATGATTTTACTTTTTAAAATGAAACCACAACAAAAATGCTTAAATTTAATAAATGTGAATCCCCCCCCCCCCTCCCGTCTGGCTACATCTGACAGTAGTGTTAGGAATTATGTTTTTAATTTTGCTGCACATTATATGACCTAGCTATACATTTACTTAAAGACAACATTTTGTCATTTAATAAAGAGATTGTGCTCTTGTAATATAATAGTTTCTCATAAGCTCAGCTATTAAGTCCATGGTGTTTAGGAGTACAGCTGGTTACTGTTATTATAAAAATGAAACATAAAAAAAACATTCAGAATCTGTTTTATTTTATAATTGTATAATTCATATATTGTTGTGAAAATGTGAGAAATATTACTAGCAAAGTGTCTTGGGAAAAAATTACTCTGTAATAGTAGCTGCCAAATTAGACTTAATATTTATTTCTTTGAGATGATATGTTGGTGTGATTATTGAATTAAAGTATTATTGGAAATATCACATTGTCATTTTTTAAATGAGAAGTGTTTTACTCTATGATCTACATTCACTGTATTAACAACAGGTAGAATGATGTAATTACACTAGATCAGTTGGTAAAAAATTAGCAGGCACTTTAGCCAAACATGTTAATTATAAGATGATGTGCATCTTTTCTTCACCAATGAATGTGTGAATAAGAAACTTTGAACTGTTTATTGTATTTTTTGTTTTTACTAGTTTCTCATTAAGTAGAGTGCATATGTTTCTAATCTCATCACTTCATTGATGGAAACCTTGAGTATTTTATTTAGTTTCATTCAACATAATGTTTTTAGATGATACTGCTTGTCCTATCGTGTTTGGATTGACTAAGAATTTGCATGTCCTATGCAAGTTAGTCACATGTAAGTATTATCTTCTGTTTCATACTTATTTTGAATAAATCTTTAATCTTATGAAATAATTGTTGTATGTGTTTTTTGTTTTTTTTTTATTCATCTTTATTTTATGACTTCATGACTAATGATACTATAAAAAGTTTAAGACAAATGTGACATGGTTTAGTGTAGTGTATTATTTGGATTATGTTACATCACCTTGTATATAAATGTATGCTTACCCTATAATATATTTTTTCAAGTTAAAATTTGATGTTAATAACATGTTTATGTACAGTTTTGACAAATGTCAAATCAACTTTGCATATTTTCTGGATTAGAAAAGTGTGAATTATAATTGTATACATTGGAGAATGCTTTTATTAGATTTTAGTTAAATGTAAATTAATCCTACGTGCATAGGTGCAGGTTTAAATGTGCATTCTATGACCTTTTACAGAATGTCATTCAACATGGTATTATATATTTGAAGTCAGAGTTATCAACTATTCATTTTACCCTACATTACTGATTTAGTGACAGTTCTTGGTAAGGTAGAGTAAACAACAGATACAATATACAGGAATACTGAACAAAACTGTAGATATGCATCTTAGAGTTTGTAGAGGTTACGCAAATGTAATATACAAACTGTATGATGGACAAAAGTACTTTTATTCTTTACATGAACATCACCTTGCACTCTGACCTATCAGAGTTCTTAGTAAAAAAATCCTAACTAATGTTAGGCCTAAGTTCAATAATGAGATAAATTTTCGCTTTTGACATTAGCTTAGATAGAACTAAATTATACTGTAATTAATACTATTTATAAATAAATTTATAATGTTATTCTAGGACTTTGCATCAGACCTTTTTGAAAACTTCACGCTTTTAATGTTATTGTACTAAATGGTTGATAAAGAATATATACATCCACCATTTTTTTGTTATTCCTTCATTCATAGATCAGTTGTAGTGATTTGTTGCTTGAATTTTCCAGCTCTCTGGTGCAGGCAAGCACTTGCACTGTTTTTCTGGGTAAAATTCTTGCTGTGCATCCTTAAAAGGCATACTGACAGCAAAATTCTAGTATGACAAAATTTTGGTATCTGTGATTAGAATTATCTTCTATTATTCTAGTAATCCTCAGTTTTTGTCTGTCATGATAACGTGCACCATAACAGACACATGAACAAATGTATTATATAGATAGATGATGCATATTAAAGCCAAAATATTATTAACCATTTTAACTACTGTGCAAATTCAGAGTAGCATCCTCTGCTGTTAAGAAGTTCGTGAGTAATCTCAAACTATGAAGTTAATGTAATCTTTAAAAGTCAGAGAGCATGATACTCAATATAATCTACCCCACAGTGATAAAAAGCTCATAATAGAGTCCACAATTTGTTTATATGATACACAGTTACAGCCAGTCATTCCGCAGAAGTAGCAAATGCTTTCAACTTTGCATAAGTTGCAGCTAAGCATAATTTTGAGATAGTAAACAACATTGTGCAAGTATTGCTTGTAGCACAATAAGTTAAAGATAAACTTTTTATTTTTTACTATTGTGATATATTTTTATCTAAAATACATGTATATAAGGTACATAAATTAATTTTTGGACAACCTACATAAAACAAACTAGGTTTGCAAAGCTCTGCACCTAAGTGCAAAAGGCCTCAAGGCTAAAGTAAGTGTTGACGTTCTTGTTTTTTTTATGTATATCTTTTAATTGTTATGTATTGTTTAACAAAAGTAACTAATATGTAAAAATAAAAAGATATTAGATTAGACAAGAAAACTTAAATGAAAAAAAAATTTATTGTGACCTCTCTTCAAAGAACACATGTTGGCTGCCATTGCATGATGTAACTTAATAATTTGTTTATGCTAAGCTCTTGCCGTGTGAAATGGTGTACCTTTGCTACTCTAGTTAGACGTACTTCAAACAGTAAAACAATAACATTAAATTAAATTGTTTTGAAAAGGTTTGAGACCTGAACCTGTTAGGATAAATAATTATAATTGTCTACTACAATCTGTACTCATTCTAGGAAAAAATAAAGAATTTGACTTTATTTCATATTTTTTAACTTTTCATTTTACTCCATGTTGATGATTTCACTACAGTTACTGTTAGGGTAGAGAAGATAAGATATAAAGTATAAAGTTTGAAATCAAATTTGATATTCATTTATGAGGACCTAGAGGTTTGGGAAATGAAGTGTAAAAACTCTAAGATGAAGAGATGTATATTTTTTTATTCTTTGCATGAAAATCACCTTTCACTCAGACAGTAAAAAATTTGTAAGTTCACAGAAAAATCTCCAATGATTCAGGATAATTTGATGATGCTGATTTCAAAAATGTAGTCGGAATTCGTCCATCACCTAGATTTTGAGTTATTGTAAATCTCAATATTTTATCTGCACTATGTGAAATACCATGCAATCAACTTAGTTGGTCACTTCACCTCACTCTGTACACAATCAAAACAAAGTCCGATCTTCCTCACATCATACCTGTGATATAATCAAATTCTGTAAAACTTTATTTTTAAAATCTTTTAAATTCTAGTTCTGTAAACATAAATTCTTTTATATTTTTTAGAAAATAATTTGAAATGTTGGCTGCCTCCAGTTTAAGTAAAGTCCAAAAGTGTAAAAATCACCCATACAGTTTCACAAAGTAAAAACATCACACACAAGGTAAAGATAGCTTACTACCACCATTTTGGATGTAAAATTGGTGACCAAGAAAACATTGGGCTCCACATATGCATATGTGTTATATAGTTTGCACATCTGGCTTAACACAATGGCTGAACTAGAAGAGATAAAGTATGCCATTTGCAGTTCCCATGATATGGCATGAGTCCAAAGATCATCTAACTGACTGTTATTTTTGCATGAGTAATGTTTCTGGATATTCAGGCAAAACTAAACATTATCTCAAATATCCAGATATTGCATATGCAATGAAACTAGTACCTCATGGGGATGGTCTTCCAGTGCCACATCCACCAGCAAATTGGGAAATAGAAGAGTTATCCTGCAAAAAAGACAATGAATCATCTTCATCTAGTCATTCTGTTCCTGTGGCACATGAACATAAACTGCCTCATTTGATTACACAAGTAGAGCTAAGTAATCTGATTCATGATTTGTCTCTATCAAAGCAGTATGGGAAACTTTTTGGCTCTCATTTACAATAATGGAATTTATTAGCTCCACAAACAGAGTTTCAATTTATTGAAGTCGGCATCAAAGTCTTGCTTCTCACTACGGCATGCAAGATTCGTTGTGTTTCTGTACAAATGTTGATGTACTAATAGAAGAATTAGATACTGAACATCATTCTCAAGAATGGAAAACTTTTATCAACTCATTGTCATAAGAAACTTATCAAAGCATGCAGATTATACATTCTTAAATGCAATTTTTAATGAATAAATACAAAGAAAAAGTTGCTATTTTCAGGATATATATAAGAATATTTTAAATATATCTATCATAACTCCAAAACTAGAGGTGATCAGTAATTTTCAACATGATGTTTAGAATCAGCATCGTCAAATTACTCAGAAACAGTTGCATTTTTTCTAGTAGCAAAGAAAAAATATTTTTTTATTCCCCAGTGTAATTGAACTTGCATATACCTTAAATGAAATCTTGCAGTTAATATAAACATTGCAAAATATTTTTTGCTATTATTATTGTGAATATTAGAAACCACTTTTAATTTGTTTAACCTAAATTTATAATTTTTTTATTATGTGTTATGTTCTACATTTGATTTGGTTTTAGTGGGATGCTGTTATGGAAAGGAATGTTGGTGTTTCACAAGTCGTGGTATGTGCTCTGTTGGCCAGGATGAGATAGTTGTTATTCTAGAAAAACATTCCAGTGACCAGATGGTACCAAAAGACATTTTCCGTCTCTTCACTACTGTTTATGATAATGCTTCTAGTGGTAAGTAAATATATCTTGCAATGTGCACATTCTTTCTGTATCATAGGATATTAACTTAACACTAATTTTTACCCCTGGGTTACTGTTTAACAATAACACTATTGTTGAATTTTTACTCATTTTAAAAGCATCTGAACTTTGGATGTTTTTCAGTCCATTATTCATGGTGTGGCTACTAAACTACAAGCAGAGTATCGTAGAAATTTAAGCCACATATAATTTTTCATTAACTGACAAAGTTAATGCTGGTAAATGTGCAAAGTAACTTAGAAATATATGATTGCAAGCATCTACTTAATGATGGCTACTATAGATTTCTAGATTAATTAATGACAGCAGCCAGTTTTCATTACAACTTCATAAATTTCTAGATTACGTAATGATAACAACCAGTTTACATCATAACTCCATAGATTTCTATATTACATAGTGATAACCAGTTTTAATTATAATTCCATAGATCTCTAGATTAATGAATGATAGAAACCAATTTTCATCATAACACCTTAGTTTTCTAGATCTATGACTATACTTGTTCAAATTTTACCACATTTGTAATTAAAGTAATAATTTTTCAGGAAGAAACATTCAAACTGTAACTAACTAAATAAAACATGTACTAGCATAGAAACATTTTAGAAAGAAGTCTTAACACTGTTGATCTGAAGCTTGCTTAAGTCAGCTGGTGCTTAAAAACATAATAGCTATCAAATATACTTGTATGTTCAATATTCAAGCATATTTTTTGTACACATAGATCAGAATGATTGCAAGAAAACTTTAATTGTATAAATTCTACATCAATTTTCACGTTCACAATCGACCAAATTCGATATTTGCCTTGTATCATTTTCCACTAAAATTTTGATTGAATTATTTGTAGTGTATACCATCGATTTCAACTGACATGAAACTACTTTGTTTATTTATTAAATTTTATAAATATATAGAAAGATCATGTTCAAATGTTAGGTTCAAAATGGAGATGAATCTGGCTTTATAAAGAAACTTATACTAGTAACATTGCTCCCTGCTTGTAACACTTTCACTTGTATCACAGATTCAAATATATTGTGTCTTCCTTCGTCTCCCTACTTTCTACATTGGACTTGCCCAGTAAAGAACCTTTTGCTAGTTCAGTCTTTAGTGTGCAAGATTTACAGATGTAGAATGGTTCTGTATTATTATATTATTTTTTTCATGGGTAATGTGGAATAAAAATGAGAGAAATTTGTACACCATTAAAGAAAAACTAAATTATTGAAATAATAAAAAAGTGGGGTTTCAAAAATGCAAATTAAAAGGAAATTGGAGTATCCTTAATGGTATGATATGTGGATGGATAGTAGAAAAAGGAAGGCTACATTTGTTCTTGGACAAATTGGACAAGACTTTTAAAGAAATGATTCAACTAAGTACATTCCATGTAATGACCTTATATTGATGTCAGTACATATTTGTTTTTTGTAGCAATTAAAGAAAATTTTAAAAGTTGTATATACATACTGTATTTGGTAATATGACTATTTCCTTGGTTATACTGTGGGTTGCTGTGCTTCCCCCGAAACCTGTGTTGTAACTGAGCAGCACTGTTTAAGAAAACAAACATAATAAATTTAGTACTGTCATCGTACATCCTGCTTTAAAATTTCAATACTCACTAGTTTTAAAATAAGACTTGTCCAGTTACACTGTAGTGTGAGAAATAGCATAGTTACTTGTGGTGATTACATCTACTACTTGTTTTTGTGCATGTTCCAGTGTATTAGAGTTAAGTGTGTTAGATACTGCACCCTGACTACTATCTAATTAGATACATACGTATCTGAACAAAATATCTGACCTTTATACTTGGTGGTAGTATCAAATTATATATCTTTCTACAGGTACCACAGTCTCTGACTTGGGACATGTATTATTCCCTGAAGGAATGCTGGGAAGCCGTGATCATAGTGGTTTCTTGTTTGTTAGGCCTACATTCCAATGTTTAGGAAAATTAGTGCTTCCATCTCCTCCTTTCCTTGTGGCAGTTCTTATACAGAAATGGGAAGTTCCATGGGCAAAGGTTTTCCCTCTTCGCTTGATGCTGAGACTCGGATATGAATATCGTTGTATGTTAATAATTTCAAGTCTTTTAGGGTAACATAATCCTTATTTTTGACTAAATAGCAAGTACATACTTCAATACATTGCTTTTTTGTTTTATTATTATTATTTATAGTACTTAAAAACTACTGTTTGTCTAGAAGTTCCCAATCTTGTGTGATAACTGTTCTGCATAACTTGCAAAGACTAATCCTCAGTTTATAATATTAAAAGAGAGGATTTGTTGTCAGGATTAGTTTGTAATATTTCTCTGTAACTAGATAAAACTAATGAAAAACAAAAATGCACTCCAAACAACTTTTGGTGTTTTTTTTTGTGTTCATGTTTTGTGTAAGATTTATTTCTTTATTTAGCAGAAGCTGACCAAAGTATTAAACTTTTTTAAGATGTATGTATTTTCAATTGTGAAAGCTGATTAGTTAATTTTTCTAAAGCATGTATTTTTATACAATTACCATCTAGTTATTGCAGGAGTATCATGACTACAGTATTCCAACATAAGAATCTTCCTGAATCTTTACATAAAAAAACTTAACATGTAAACAATATGATAAGGTCATTTCTCATAAAGGAGAATACTCCAAACACAGTTAAATTAAAACTTCTCACTAGTGTGGAAAGAATCAGTAATGTCGTTAATTACAATAATTCTGTATCTCTCAACTAGTTCATTGCAATTCGTTTCTAAAAAGAAAACATAACTTAGTTAGTACTAATTATTCTTCCAACATGTCCTCAAGGAATTTTTGAGTAAACCTAGTAAATGGTACTGATTTGTTGGAGCAAAGTTTTTTCACACACAGAAACTGTGTATATGAAATTACCTATTTTTGTCAGTGTTCACTATTTGATGACTGGGACAAGAAATTCACAAGTTTAATAACATGTATATATTTTGTCATTCTTTCCATTTTGTGGGCTAATCCTTCCATGCCATTACAAAATGTAAATTTCAATACTATGGAAATGCTTCATTGATCCCTGTTGACAACTGAATGAGCTACAGTGAGAGTACTTATCATTCTTTAGAATTCCCATAAACTTGTACCAAGGGCATGTCATTAGGGTTCTGCTTGAATGAACATACTGATCAAACTTAGGGTCTGAAATAACTGTCATGGTACCCCATGCAGTGTCTTAACTATATAGAAAGAAGCTTGCATATGGTACCGGTATATGCTAGAAGAAATAAATTTAATAGCACTCCACAAATAAACCTTGATAAAAACAGCGTTTAACACTATAGGTATTTGAAGAACTTGTAGAATTTTGCCACAATTTAATTCTTTGTATTGTTAGCTGACACTAGGCAGCTGGTACATAATTGAATAGAGTTGTTTAAACATTTGTTTAATAACAAGTAAAAGCTTGGAATGGTATATTCTTTCATTGGGGTGTGTCTGTTCATTGGGATTTGATAGATCAAAACTTGACAAATCAAAAGTTATTTCCAAAGAAACTTTATGGGAGTGTATTAGAGACATTTGGAGGAAAATCCCAAAGGCCACTTTGATTATATATGTTGCAACAATGCCTGAAAGACTGTCTGCAGTTATTAAAGCAAAAGGGGGACACAAAATATTAACTGTTTGCTGAACTCAAGCATTTCTACTGAGTTTCTGTTGTACTAAATATGAAGATTAATAAAAATGTTCATGTATCACCTGTAATTTACCTTCCATTGTCAGTTTCATTCATTTGTTTATTTATTATAATTATTTTGAATTTTTAGCTTAGTATTTGAATTTAGGACTAACTTAAATCTCCTAAGCTGACTGAACCTCGTGAGATATTATTAGGACCATTGTTAAAAATATTGTCAATGGTGAGGATATTCAGTGATGATTTGGAGCATTCTTAACACCATAAGGTTTTGTTTTATGACCTTGAATATACATAGGTAGAACAGTATAGTAAATTATCTATATTAGTTGGTAGGTTAAGTTTTATTATTTGCTTTTTAACTTACTTATGATATGAATTTTTGAAATAATTATTTGTGGGATATTAGATTTATTTCTGTACAACATTTAAGGTACAAATACATTCAAATTGCAAATAAATCCATTAAAAAAATTCAGTTTTTGATACTAGCTCCTGATGTTTTATTAATGTTAGGTTTTAATTCTTTGATTCTTCGTGCTTCCAGATTGTTTCTTTTGTTTAGATTTTTTCTCCTATATTCAGTACTTTAAAATTTTTGAAGTTAATTTTTTGTTGTTTTTTTTCAGTCGTATGTTCATTTACATTTGACTCTTCATTTGTCAAGTTTCTTACATCTGGTTGAGATATGTTGATGATGTGACATTAAAGAAAAAAAAATGTTTTTGAACACATTAACAAACAACATAAAATTCATGATACATAAACAGGAAAATGGTTGTATGAATTCCTAAATGTAAACATGAAACTCTCAGTTTAAACATTCATCAGAAGAAGACTCACAATGGAACTGATATAAACTGTTTTTTTCATTTGTGTTAAAAATTAAAAACAGGAACATTAAAAGATGTATAATAACAGCATTGTGTACCAATGAAAACTTTAAAAAATGAAATTAAAAACAACAGGGTACACAAAAAATGAGTGCACTATAAGCATAATTGATGACATAACCAACAAGAAATAAATGTGTTTAAGAACAACAAGATAACAAACCAAAACACCCAAGAAGAGCAAGAGAAGAAAGGTATTTATGGATCAATTCCATTTGTAGGTGTTATTAGTGAATAATTAATTATATTATGGTACGAATTAAGTAAAAAACACAAATATGAAAACAAAAATTGTAACTAAACCAGGAACTAATATTAAAAGTTTTCTACTGAAGTTATATAATAAGGAAAAATGTGGCAATGGTACGGTGTATAAAATAGAATGTTTAGACTACAGAAGTTTCTATATATAAGAAACAGACAGGAAAATAATGACCAGAAGTAAGGAACATGAAAAACAAGAACAGTCGAACATAAATGAACATATGACTGAAAAACAACACAAAATAAACTTCAAAAATATTAAAGTACTGAATACAGAGAAAAAAATATGAAAGCACTAAAAATCTAAGAATTAAATCCTAGCATTTATAAACCATCGGGAGTATCATTATATTTGTGTTAAGCTAATTACTTCTAAAAACAGTGTTTTGATTTTGAGGTAAATCTTCACCTATTGGCTAATGTTCCTTCATGCACATAGTAAATGTGTTAGCAATGTTTCTACAGCATTGCCACTAGATTACACTAAACTGGATTTTAAAAAATGTGTATTATTAAAGAATCAACAGGTTTATGTTAATTTGTTAATTTCTTAAACTCTTCCAGATAATAAGAAAAAACTTGTTTTTAAAACCCCACAATGTATTTTTTATGTTGTTTACAAATATATATGGGTTCTCTCCATATAAATTTCTAATTTCAGGTGAGGATAATATGTAATGATAATATTCTTTGATTCTGATCCTCTGATCAAGTTGTGAAACATAATCTATTGTATTTTGAAATATGCTGAGATTCTGTCTTTGTCAAACACTAAGTTACTGAGAAGAGCACAAAAAGCAAAAAATGATAAGGTTCTCTGAAAGTAAAGCTATTTAAGTTAATGTAACTTTCTTTCATTTTTATATACATCAAATATCAGGTGTTGCTAATTAGTAAAGTTTTTTATGAGCAAACAAAAAAAAAAATGTAGGAATTAACATTCAGTAAAGTTGTGTCAGATTACCAAAGCTTAATTTACCCCACTTTAGAAATTCAATTCTTATATAACCCTAAGCATTTTGTCACTTTATGATGTTTGTGCTACTTTTCATGGAGAGTAATAATTAATATGTCTCATAAATTGTATAGTTTTGTCACTTTCTGGTGGTAAATTTTTCAGTAAAAAAAAAATATTTTTTGTGTTTAGTGAGGAAACTACTGAACTGAATAATTAATTGAAAATATAATAACAGCAACTTTACAATAGGCAAGATCTTATTTTCATAATTACAACATTTTAGCCAATAGTATAGATCCATTGTCAGGTAAGAGTTGCATTAAAAATAATAATAATGTAACTCTTACATGATGATGCCTTGATACATTGTACTATAATAAAAAATATCTTGACTACTGTAAAAGTTGCTATTATTTTATTTTGAATTGAAGAATTAATTTTATTTACAGGTTTGTATGTTTGTTTGCTTTCAATTTCTCTTTTGGTTCTGAACTTCCTTCACTATTTTATATCATTCAGCTTGGCTGTATGGAATACTGGAAGAAGAATTTCCATCTGCTCTACAAATTCCTCAGTGATAGCTGTTTATTTGCAGTTTCTATATTTTCCAACTTATTATTCCTCTTATAAATGTTATATGATTGTATTAAGTTCAACCCATACTACATTAATTTTCAAGATAACTAATGAAGAGGTGAGGAATTTTATGGTTTTTCTTTTTGTCAGATATTTGAGCACATGCTCAGTATCAGCTATAAATTCAGTAGAATAGTTTTGGAGAAGTGCGTGTTCATTGTATTAGCAAATCTTTGTCAATGATATACTTGGTTTCTTGATATATCAAGTCAGTTTTTGGACCCACACCTTTTCACAAGATGGTGTCTGATGTACATTGACTCATTCGATACATATAGGGTTAATAATTGCATCACACCGTTAGTTTCAGAATAAATGTGTATTGTTGATAATGTTATTTGGAGATTCTTCATGTCATCTATGTGAAAAAATGATATAATAAAGAAAAAAATATGTATTAGTGCATAAAAAATGGTCTGTGAAGTTAAATAACTAAATCTAAGTAGCTAAAGCTTATCAGGCATCATTATTTTAAAATATGGTATTACTTATGCCAGTATATGATGTAATTGAAAACTCCTTCAAATTAGATATGCAAAACAGGATGATATATATCAGAATATAAAAGAATGAAACACTGTATGAAAAGTCTTCTAGCATAAGATGATGAATGAATGCAGTAATTTAATGTAAAAATTTTTTTCAGATTATCCTTGTCCTCTTATCAGTGTTCGTTTTCGCAAGTCAGTTTATGGAGAAGTAGGCAACACCATAATGAATGTTTTGGCAGTAAGTTTACTATAGAATAAATTAAATATGATATAAAAAAAAGCTATTGTAGGGAAGTAAGTACAATGAATCATCATGGTAAGGCTACTAGGAATGATATTGAACAAAAAGCCTGAAAATGCAGCAAATTCACTACATTCTATAGCTTATATTGGACCAAATGTTAGTAGTTATCAGAATCCTTAAGTATGAAGATTCAGCATATTTTATATTGTAAAACAAATTTATGATTTTCCTGCTGTTGTATTACACGTGGCATTAAAAGCCTGATCATTTAGAAATTATTATGCCATTTTCCACAGTAAGTGGGAGTATAGCGATAATAGCATTTGACATCTAAGGACTGTGTACAGAGGATACATCTGTTAGACTGTATAGCTCCACTGCTATGTGGGACCTCTTTATACAGATTACTTTTGTGTGTTTTACAATTTTTACTCGCCAATTTACACCTAAGTTTTATTATTCTTTTCTGTGGGTATGACCTCCATTAGTTTTTGGTTTAGTTGCCACATTTAATCCTAGAATGCCAGTGTGGTTTCACTGTGATCCAATACAAGTTAAACCTGTATACTAAACTAACCATGCTGGCATTCTAGGGTTACAAAATTATTTAATTAAAGGTTGGGAAATGCTGTTGTATTATACTCTCTTTTCTTTAGGTGTTACAACAAATAACTGCTGATTTTCCTCTGTTTGTGCATTTATTTACATATGAAGGTAATTTCTTCTAGTATTAGAGTGTATCATGAATAGGAAAATTGGTTAATTACATTATAGAGGTGGTACAAGTTTAAAATAGGTAAAGGTAATCTCTTGTCTCTGCACAGGATTTTCGAAACTATCAGTACAAGTTATCTACAGTTCCTGGGATGCATGCTGAAGTCAAAGACAAAAAAACTTGTATCTACATCCCACAAAACCACTATGACCAGGTATTAATAGAATATTTGAATCCAAAATATCTGTTTTCTCAGGAAAAAACTTGTGTCTAACACTGCATCATTCTTTAGATACAAGATATAAAAAGTGTTTAAACATTTCTTGCCTTACACTGTTGGAGTTGTATTGGTTATATTTAAGTTAAAGAAAAACAATTCAACTTCAACAAAAACAAGCATAAAAGTTTTGTCATGATACAATAAAATTGTTTGTTTATAGATATGAGTTTCACTGAAAGAAAAACCTGAAACTTTGGAATGCTGAATGTGCCCAAGTGTTGTTGGAACAATGTTTTGTGTAAACCAGTCTTGCATGTATTACAAATTTTCCCATGTGGAATCAATATATATATTTAAATTAAAACTTCCTCTCTCCAGTATTTGTATACAATGTATCTAAAACTAAACTATTTTGTTTGCTTTATTTCTTTATTTACTGTTCTATGTTTTAAGAAAAATAAGTTTAAGAACTTATTTCAAAATAGCAATAATATATATACATATAAAATGTATAATAATTGAAATGTGATTGTATTTTACAATATACTAATCTACTAAAACACAGCCAAGACAGGTCACTTTGTATAGACCAAAGGTTAGTTTTATGTTATTTGATGTGGTAACATGAGTGCACATGAGCCGCATCATTGTAACTTCTGTATTGTTAGCCAGGCATGGCTGAAAGGTCAATATAATAAAAATAATAAATATATATAAATGTATAATGTTATGAGATTTAAGCTATTTAGTCTAAACATTTATGTTTTTGTGTTATAATATGTGTTAATTCTAGAATGAAAGAGGCATAATTTATATTTATTTCCTAATTTTTTATGGTGGTTGCGAGATCAGTCAAATCTACTGAATCTTACAGAGATTAATTACTGAAAATAACAGATGAAATATAAAGTTTTTTCTTAAGAAACATTTGATAATTATCTGGACATTATAAAGATTTTGCATGTGAAATTTATATTTTGCGTATTAAAGCATTGTAATGTTTTACTAATAATCTGCCAAATTTCATTAACATTCACTTAGTAATTTAAAAGTTATAGCATGAAAACTATGACAAGCACAAAATGGTTACAAGGTCAGTCCCAGGGTCCGAGCCCGTGCTGAAAGAGTTAAGGGAAAGCTTGATAAGTATATGAATGATAAGCCTTGCTTTAAAG